GCCGAGATTATATTATCGTTGCATTACATTCATGCACTTGGCTGTGTTCATAAAGACATCAAACCAGACAACATTTTGATCGACAAAAATGGACACTTAGTGCTCACTGATTTTGGACTTTCATCATATGGATTTGTATCGGAAGAGTCTGTACAAGCATTAGGGACGTTCTGTACACCGGATTATGCTGCACCAGAGATTTTAATATCGAACACGTATTCGTTTGCGAGTGACTATTTTGCATTGGGATGCATGATGTACGAATTTGTTGTGGGATATCCACCCTTTAACGCATCGACCCCAGAAGCCATTTTTATGAAGATTCAAGAAGGCGTGTTTGTGTGGCCGCACGACGTTGAAGTGAGCGACAAGCTGAAAGACCTTATAAAAAGACTTTTAAACCATTTACCAGAGCAACGACCGACTTTCAATGATATTGAAAAACACCCATTTTTCAATGGTATTCATTGGAGCACTTTATTTGATGAGAAGAGAGATGACATCTTTGTGCCTGAGCTGGAGACAGAAAAGGACACCGGGTATTTCGAGGACGAACGAATGATTAAGCAGATGCACATGAAAAAGAGCGACATTATCATTAAGCCAAGCTCTAAAATTGACGTTGTCAAAAGAAAGGAATCCCCGATTGTCCCTTCATCAGTCGAATTTGGAAATTTTGACGCAAAAAACGTCGACAACTTGGTGGAGGAGAACAGAAAGTTGTACGCCAAGGAGTTTGCAAAGTTCGAGGCGACCAACTTGTAATTTACATTTATATTGATTTGTTTGATTTGAAACCCGTTTGTTGTGTCAGAAGAGCCAAATATAATATTACATAGATGAGAAAAAAAGTACCACAAAAGAAGACAATTAATGTTTGGCCCTGTACCGAGCTTTTGATTGCTCAACACATTCTTTGCACCTCTTGATATACATATCGTGCTTGGTTCTGTACATCACAGCAGCATCAACATTAGCTGGAGACTCGCAATTTGGGCACGACAAAAGGGACATCACTGATATCAATATTTTTTCGATGTTTTGAACAGGGCTCCAACGCTCCGAAATTTGTTCATAATGAGTCGGGTCTTCAGTGGGTGGGTGGAGGATAGATATGCAAACATCGCCGTTTGCATAAATGTTTGGATGCCACATCGGGCACGTGAATGTCATTTTTGGTGGGTTCATCGGATAATCTGCTGGAAACACTAATTTGGCAGTCAAAATGCCACCTTCGTACTCCGTCCCTTCTGGACCAATTATCACAGCTTCCCAGACAAATAAATCCGTTTCGCTTATAGGACCTGCTGTGATACCCGTAGGTGGGTCTTGTGTCAATTTTTTGTATTCTGTTGTGAGTCGTTTTACGGCTACGGTGTTGATACGTCTCATTTATACCTTCAAAGTTCATCGTTTTTTATCAAACCCTATTTTCAAACTTCATTCAATTCGTGTTTTTTTCTTATATAGAAAATGCATAAAAAATAAGGATTTGGGTCTTTTTTCATATTATGTGGAGTTTATTCATCGACAGTCACTCTTTCATTTGAAATAACTTGAAATAGTTATTTGTATTATATTTTTATAACTTTTTATTTGGTTATTTCTTTTAGTTTTTACTAATACAGCAAAAAATATAAATTTTTTTTTCTGTTTTATAATGTTCATCAAAAAAAAATTGATATTAAAATTTAATTCTACACTTTCATTATGTATTTTTGAACTATAGTATTCTTATATTTTTTAATTATTTATATTAAATCAAATAGAACGAAGTATATTAATAAGTTATCAGAAAGTATAAATAAAATAAATAAATCAAATAAAAATCGAGTTTAATTAAAATAAATGGACAGACAAGTATTACAATTAAAAAGAGATAAACTCTATATATTTTTTTTGTGAAAAAAAACTCAGAAACAAGAAGTTTGTTGTTAGAGGAGGTAGGAAAAGAATAATGAGTAGTGTTTTCGCAAAAGTTAAGGAACAAGTATTATAAGAAAGACAAATCATACAAACAAAACGAGGTTGAAATGCTTTTGGAAAAAGGCGCCACTATTTACGAACTTCTCGACAGCAAAGACTACACAACAGAAATACTAGATAAATTGAGTTCGACTACTAAAGGGCAAAAAAATCTTATGTACGATGAGATGACAAAGTTAGAGAACATGTCACTGATATTACGCACGCTTTGTGGTGTTAAAAATCAAAAGGATAAACAACATTCTTTCAAAAAGTACCAAAACCGCTTGTTAGTTGCGTTTGATCGGAATGACATTCTTTTGAACGCGATGTCGACCAACCAAATTATAGTCGAAGAACTTATTGGGTATTGTTGTGATGGGAATAAAACTGTCGCGAAACGTGCCTTTTATTTTGTACAACGGTTTTTGTCAAACCAATCAAATGTGTTGTACAAGGTCTTACGCCGCAAAACGAATATTTCCCCAACGTTTTATGACTTCGCGAACAACAGTGCTATTTTGTGTGTAACGACATTCATATCCACTTTCGATGAAAATGAT